GAAATTTAACAACAATTCTCACTCGCTGAATCTCGTTCTCGCGCGTGGCATTGTCTTTCGCCAAAGTCATTTGATCCTACTCATTTGTTAATTAACTCTTGCTTTTCCTACATCTTTATTTGACTTTTCTGACGAAGCCTTTTACTGCCAGCCGCGTGTATTTCATTCCGTTGCGAGTCCATTCAAGACACCATTATCATTACTGTAACAATAACCCAACGAGCGGCGTATTGGAAAAGAAACACTCTGTTTTTCGCTGCGCATTCCTGGCTGGTAATTGGTACGCGCGGAAGCCGCATCGCTTCCTGTTTCAAGCGGCTCAAGGAAACCACGAGAATCGTCCCTCTTCTGCCGGGAATTCCCGAAATTCCGTTCGTGAATTCGACTCTCCGGTTCGCGTGACTTCCGATACGAGTTTCGATCGGCGGTGAAAGATCGACGTGTTAGCGGATTTCCGGCGACACCGGGCGACGAAACACCGAAAGAATCGCGATCGTCGGCGAAAAAAGTTTCGTAATTGGTCTAGTGCCGTGTGATTCGCAAACGGCTCGTAAAACCATTTTCCACGGCCGACACGCGCGTAGAAGCATCGGCGAGCGGTGTTCCCGCGGGCTGCCTGTCGCCGCGTCGCGTCGCGTCGGCTCGGAAGAGAGGGAAAAGGCTTCCCCGCGAATCGCCGGGCGCAATTTCACAAACAGCGTCCGCGCGGCATAAACGGATTCCATTGGAATTCCATGCCGGTGAATCGCAACGGCACGGTCGAGTCCCGTCAACCGAGGCTACCTCGATAAATTGCGTCGGATGAATTCTCATTCAGAAACAGAAATTCAGCTTGATTTTCTCCGTGATCACGTGGAACGGCAGCCACCTAGCCTTGCGCGGAACATCGCGGCGCAATTACGACCCGCTTATTCGTGCGATACTAATGTGCCCGCAATGATAGGAAATAGTATCGACGCCGCGAGTGTCTTTTGCTTTTAGTTCGCGATACTTGCACAAGTACTCGGGACTTCCAACGTATCGGCCGAATCGGAATGTAATCTGATTACACGTCGATAAAGACAATTGAAATGGTACCGTTGATTCGATTGTGAGATTACGTTCTACGGTGCTTAATTGTCGGTCGTCGTAATTGTTGCGGTCTCGAAGTTGTAGGTCTCTATCAATCAACGGTTGTTGAAAGTATATAGACCGCAATCGAAGCGATAATAACATTTCAATCGTCGTCGTTGGTGCGTAATCGCGTTACATTTCTGATACATATTGTGTTATCAACTGTTTATGTCGGGCGATATTTTCATGCAGAGTCGGACTGTTTCTTTCGTCGCGCATTTTCCGAGCTTCATACGCACGAAACGCAGGATTGAAATATCGAAATTAAATTTCACGAATTTTTGCACGGCAGCGCGCAGCGGGCAGTCCGAATACAATGAAAATCAAAACTCTCGACGCAATTTTTCGACTTGAACGGATTCGAATGGTGTTGAATGTCGAATGCTGAATGAAATTAATGCATCGGTTACACGGTTCAATTACGAGGGCCAATCGGAACTTTTCATTCCGCGGGAAAGCCGCGCAATAAAAATCCCCCGTACCTGATGGATTGATCGGATCTGGATGGAATAATCGCGTGTAGTTTTACGATTAACCGGTGCGTATTTATGTTCCGCCGAGCGACGGGATTAGGAGGCGCGCAATCTCGATGGCGGTGCCGGTCGCGATACATCCTCGGGGCAATTTGCTTTTATCATAGGGGTTCCCCTCCTTGTGCTGGTTAACGCGAACGGAAAACCGCGAGTGACATCGCGCAATCGAGAAAGAATGCAATGAAACAAGAACCAATGGTTACCACTACTATCGCTACAACCTATTTATAATATCAGCCCTAAAAACACGGAGGGATGTTCTCCTCGGGTCAAGAAAAAAGGGAATGTAACGTATGTCATTTACGTTGCCAAGATTACCATCGAATAATCGTTTTTACCTTAAAAGATACTACTTATCGCTAAGTAAATGATTGCGTGCGCATATACACCGCTTAATCTCGACGCTGAATCGCTGTTATGGTTAATAATAACCGTAATAACGTTATTACCGTGTATAATTCGCTTTAGTCACTGTTGTTTTACAATTGTACGCGGACCGCATCCATCAAACTTGGGAAACCCGCGGCTTTGATACTTTGTGAACCGCTTCTACTTGTTTTCGGAGCTACCTGGATCACTTTACGGGCCGGGGTTATTACAGGGGCACTCTTACCCGGCTCTTGTAAGGGGTTATTATCATTATTATTATCATTATTATACGTTTATAATAACAATCCCCGATGCGTCTCGCAGAATCGATTCAGAAGGTTCAATATTCCACGCTGGAAATAGAAACGCAAGCCCCGCGAGCCGTCGAAATATCGACGAGCAACGGAACCGGAAAACGTTTCGCGTGCAGAGGCGCATTTAATTCGGCCAGCCGCCGCGGAAATTAGTATGCGACGCGGCGTGCGTCGTGGCGTTCGTTGTCGTTACGTCTGCGTTCGACCATGTCAAATTAAGGGAACGGAATAGGCCGCGGCGCACCGGCCCGAAGAAAACCAACGTAAAAGACCCGCGCGCTCCGACTCCGGCACGCATACACGCGTTCCCGGGCTCCCACGGTGCTCGGCCATTTTCCCATGGATTTCGTGCAACCGGTTCCGAAAACCGTGGAGAGGTGCCTTTAACGCGTGAATGGGACTCCGCGCGACCGCGGCCATTCACCTTCCGCGATTTGGCCACGGGCCTAAGCTTTTATTCGTACGCATCCTCCCGTGCGGACCGACAACGTTTTCCATGTAACGCGTCCAACGTGATA